AGTTTTTTGTGCAATTTCCAAAAAGAGTGACCAGACATCAAAAGAACATAGAAGGAAGACACTGTTGGAAAAAACAAAAAAGAACTCACTTGTAATTTGCCAAACACACCAGGAGAGATAGTATCCTTCTTGATCACCTTGGCAATTAGAGTACTATCCCATGCATTCGATCGTGTCGCGCAGTTGCTTATTGGGATGTCATGTACGAGCGCATCAAGGTATAGTATCTGCACCGGACCCAAACAAAAGAAAAGGCCAAGTTCAGTTATTGTTATGAGAATTTCAGCAAACTATAACTGCACAGAAAGAACAGGAACAGATGGAAAAAAGTGGTCGTTTTCACTAACCATCAAGTGATACAAGCAGCAGCAGACAGTTTGCTTCTCCTGGTCCATGTTCCGGAAAGCTTCGTTAATGTGTTCTGCTACAAAGAGGCAGATGTTTGTATTCTTTAGCATTTGATGATCTAGCACAAGTCCATAACACTTTGGGCTGAGCTTCAAGGCCGTGGTTGGTGCTAGAAAAGTGCTGAAGGCAACCGCAAGCCAGGCCATAAAGAATGTGTCATCCGTTCTTCCAGCCATATCCTGAATCATCTTGAGCCATGTAGTGATCTGGGGATGAGAATTTCCAGTTATGTTGAAAGCCTGTCTGAATCTCCTAGTGGCATCCTTGTCAACTAAATATCTGACTTTTGGACCCTTGTTTGGGAGATCAAATACCCTCTGAACACTGTCAGCATCGACACGGATCCTTCCCCTTCCTGGGAAAACCATTTCAGAGGTCTGTGGCTGGTAGGACTGCACCAGGAACTTAGTGAGGTCCGCTGGAAGTGTGTCTGATAAGTTCAATAGCCCCCCGACCGACCTCGAAACTAGCTCTGATTTCTGTAGTGGGGTTAGAGAGGCGTTGAAATTTGTAAAGCGCGCTGGTGATGCCCTTATCCTGCCTGCTTGTGATGGTCGCTCCACATCTTCCCCTGGAGCCACCTCAACTCCTTCACCGTTGCCCTGTTGATTAGAAAATGAAAGCATTACACAAACATTAAACACAAGAGAAAAAACAAGAATGAAAGAAAACTAGCAATCATCATTTGGATCAGTATTAGAATGAGCTATATATTCATAAAACGGATCATGCCAACTAATATGATGTATTTGTGCAACTAATAAATCTCATGAGGACAACTGCAAGACTGCCAGTGTGCAACTGAATGTGCAACAATAAAAACAGTAAATAAAAAAAGAACGAGACCTGGCAGCTACAAAAAGTTCTAGTGGATGTGCAACAATAAGAAATGATACTACAACACAAGAAAAACAGTAACTAAAAAAAGGTTTGCAAAGAACTATTCAAATAGCTCATAAACACACACAAAAAACCCACATACCTCATCATCTGCTGTGGGAGATGCGACAGCTTCTCCAGCAACTGCTGCCTGCACAAAAAAATGACCACTGATGTCAACTATGAAAAGATGCCAACTAGTGAACTACAAGATGCCAACTAATGTCAACTGTATTTAAATCAATATGACTAGAGATGTCAACTACAAAAAAATGGACTTGTGTCATCAGCATGCCACTTACCGACTTCCAGAATGCTGATTAAGCAACCAAAAGAAAACATGAAAAAAAAGACATTAGCATACATGCATAAGTTGAAAACAACTCAAAAACAAAACAAAAAAAGGTTTGCAAAGAACTTTTCAAATAGCTCATAAACACACACAAAAAACCCCCACATACCTCAGCATCTGCTGCGGAAGATGCGACAGCTTCTCCAGCAACTGCTGCCTGCACAAAAAAATGACCACTGATGTCAACTATGAAAAGATGCCAACTAGTGAACTACAAGATGCCAACTAATGCCAACTGTATTTAAATCAATATGACTAGAGATGTCAACTACAAAAGGTTGTTATTGACAGACTAAAAACAAAAATAGTGGTCCAAACTGCTGCATAATTTAATCACTATCTAAAAAATGCGAGAAAAACACTTATATTTGAGATTTTACTTACCCTAGAAGATGACTCAGCTCCCTTGCCAAGTGCTGCACGTCTAGTCCGCTTTACAACACGGAACTGATCAGCATCCTAAGAAAAAAAACATGAGCATGGGAAAAAACAAAAAAAATGTTATATGACCCAAACAAAACCAAAAAAATGGACTTGTGTCATCAGCATGCCACTTACCTCAACATCCTCTCCCTGCTCAACACTCTGCGCAGGTCGTGGCTGGCAATTAGCAGGACGCTTCGAGTTCCGGCGAAGCGGCTGACTTCCAGAACGCTGATTAAGCAACCAAAAGAAAACATGAAAAAAAAGACATTAGCATACATGCATAAGTTGAAAACAACTCAAAAACAAAAGAAAAAAAAGTGAAAAAAAATACATCTCCTTCATTGCCATCCGCATCTCCTCCTATTATAATCATTTTTGCCCTGCGGCAGGAAATACAACAAAAAAACATAGTTAGAAGATGTGGACAACCAACTACTACAATGATGCAGCCAACTGGGCAGTAAACCTTGTGCAAACTGGACATAAAAAAGCCAACTAACTTTTTTCTGCCTAGTTATTATTTGCCAACTGTGACAAGTAATACCTAGGCAGAAAAAAGTTAAGTAAAGGCAACAAGCTCAGTGAGATAACTTATTCTAAAAAAAGCGTCCCTAGTTGAACATGAGGGGAGACACATAAAAACAACCATATCCACAACAAAAAGACTTGCACATTGAGAAAAATTAAAAAATGGAAAAATGGCAAGCATTAGTACTAATTTGCACAAATCAAGGGGTCCTAGTTGCACAAAGCACGAGAATAACACATAAACCACCACAGCCACCACAACGCTGGTGGATTGGGTAGATTATATTGGAAAACTGGCAAGCATTGGTGCTAAAATTGCACAAACAAGAGTCCCTAGTTGCACACAGCAGAGGGGAAAACAGCCAACTCATGCGCAAAATGAGTTAGAAGATGCGCAAAATGAAGTACAGAACCAACTAGTACATGGATGCACCCAACTAATCAGGCAACTTGTGCAACTGAACGACGCATAGACAGACAACCTAGCACAAAATAGCAAGCAAACTAAGCAGGGCAACTAGTGACCATTGTAAAACACATGAACAACCAACTTAACCACGAAAGCAGGGCAACTTGTGCAACACAAAAACAGTATATATATACAGCCAATTAGTATATGGATGCATCCATCTAATTGTGCAAATGAACAACATATAGACGGTCGACCTAGTGCAAAACAGCAAACCAACTAAGCGGGACAAACTAGTGCAGGTGTAGAACATATAGACAGCCAACTAGTAAAAGTGATGTAGCCAACTGAGCAGGCAACTTGTGCAACTGAACAGTATGTAGACACCCAACTAGCAAAAAATTGGTGCAACTGCAGAACATAGGGACAACCAACTACTATATGAATGAAGCCAACTGGATAGAATTTTGTGCAACTGGAACACAAGTGTCTACCAACTACACGGCAACTTCTGCAAAACTCGAACACAACTAAGAGACAGCAAGTTCACAGAACCGCAATTGCATAGCCAACCAGTTCATAAACTTCCTGCAGCGGCCATGAACATCGAATCAAGGACGAATCGTGGGACAAAAACCACCACCACCACTACCGCACAAAAACGAAGCAAAACACAGCGGAAACACAGCAAGGGCTCCCCCCCTATGCAGCCCGCCACATCCGCCACCCATCGACCTAGACACCACCTCGCCACCGGTGACGAGAGAGAGGGGGGGAGGATAGCAGAGGGCAGTGGCGGACGTCTGCCTCGAGCGCAAATCCAACAACCACCTGCACCAACAAGAAACGCATTCCCCCACGAATCCCCACCATTACAGATCCAATGACACTGTGACTAGTCGAACAGAAGCACACCCATCCCACCCGAAAAGCGTCTACACCAAAACAACCGTGCGAGTAAGTTGACCACAGAAACCGCAGAAACCCTAGGAATCCCAGCCCGCCATTTCCGCCGCCGACGACCTCGAGACGACCTAGACCCCCGGCGACAAGACAAAGAAAGGAGAGATGCACTGGGTACCTGCAACGCCGACGAGGGCCAGCAGCGAATCCCCGCGCGGTCCACCGGAGATTTGGAGAGCCGCGGCGCGATTTCGCCGCGGAGCGAGAGCGAGGGCGGAGGAGAGGAGCGGAGAATGGGGGAGGAACATGAGAGAAAGGGGGAGAAAGAGCGAGAACGGCTCGCGTTTCGAAAACGGCCGCCCACGATCTACGCCACGCCCGCTTACATGTGGGTCCACGCTCGTCCGGATAAGGACAAACCGCCCACGAGCGCGTGGTTGGACGGACCGACCAGGCGACACCTGGCGCTCCCCCGAGGCCGATCGCAAGCGATCGTGCGGTCGCGAGCCGGCCGCCCGGATCATCTATTTGGTGCGCGGCCACTTTTTAGATTTTAGGCTGTTTTTTTAGGTAAAAAGGTTTTTTTTAGGCAAAAAATGTGTTGGCATCTCCTCGCTTCTCAAATAAGGCTCGACGAGCAATGGGCCATGACAGGCTATCTCACCTCCGATCTCTTGCAGCCCAGTACGAAACAAGATCAGAAAACCGCGTGCCGTACGTAGTATCGTTCAACAGAGCCGGCCAGCCAGCCGGGGACAGGGTCGCAGGTGACCCCGAAGCCGCGTGCAAGCTACGCGATGCCATCCCCCGATCCAGCACGTTGGCGCCCGCGCGGACGGCTCGGATGCTGTCTCCGTGCTGCATATTCCCACCCGACCCCGATTCTTCCAGGCCAGGGCGGGCGTTGCAACGAACAAACAAACGCTGCTTTCAGAAGAAGGGTTCTTCCTTCTCCACTTCTTCTATCCCGTCACACGAGTCCGACGACGACGACTTGAGGGAGAAGACGAAGAGGAAGCCACTCCCGAAAGATTCGACGGGAATTTTGTTGTTCGTCCGGGGGATTCCCAGCGATCGGCCTATCTCCGGCGGCGGATGGGGCAGGCGTTCCGCAAACTGTTCGATGCCTTCTTCGGCAACAGCGAGATGAGGGTACGGCGGTCTTCCCTGTCAGATAGGAGATCACCGTCCCCCTTCTGATGCTCCTCTAAGAGCTGCCCGTGCTGTATCGTGCTGGTTCTTTTTCTTCGGGCCATTTAATTGATGTTGTACTCGATTTTCAGGTCGTGATGCTTGGGCTGGATGCAGCGGGCAAGACCACCATCCTGTACAAGCTGCACATCGGGGAGGTCCTCTCGACTGTCCCTACGATTGGTAGGTTATTCAGATTTTTTTTCTTGGTATCAGCTGAATTGTTGGTTAACTGAAGTTATATCAAGGCCTTACTGATGTGTTAAACTGTTAATGAGGGAAGGCAAGCGAGTTGTTGCTGTTGGTAGTAGAGGAATAAATCAACCTGCCGTATATTGTCTTGCGGAACGGGGGTTTGGGAACTTGCTTATGTAAATGTGGTTAGCTGAACACTCTGATCTACTCCCTCCGTTCCAAAATAGATGACCCAAGTTTAGTATAAAGTTGGGTCATCTATTTTGGAACGGAGGGAGTAATATTTATGCCTGATTTTTTCTTTCTGGTTAGCTGAGCACACACCCTTGCAGTTTAGATAGTAATAATCATGCAAGAGTCAACCAGTTAACCTGCTAGTCAGATTGGCCTTAACAGACAGCGTTCTTAAATCTTTTATGAGGTTTAGTTGAAAAAGGAACTACCAAGTGCTGATGTTGCTTTTCTGCTCTTACTAATAGGGTTCAATGTTGAGAAAGTTCAGTACAAGAACGTGCTGTTTACAGTGTGGGATGTTGGTGGCCAGGAGAAGTTGAGGCCCTTGTGGAGACATTACTTTAATAACACAGATGGATTGGTATGTTCCAATTACTCTAGTTATACAAACTTGACAGATGTATACCCGTCTTTTATCTTTCTGCTGAGGTATTTATGGTTGACCTTTCAAATGAAATTTGTTACTGTAGTTTGGTTCTTAGCTGGTTATGGAAATCCAATTTATGTTCTGTCTCTGTTCATTTATCTGGAAAGCTAGCCCAGGCTATCTTGTCAGTAATTTCTATGTTGAAATCTTGATTTTGGTCCCTCGCAAAAACAAAAACAAAAATCTTGATTTTGGCGTTATATTTCTTGTGGCCCATCTATTTCATTTTATTTTATTGCCATTTTGCACTTTTTGGTCCCACACATCAGGGACCCAAACCCAGTGGTGATAATGGAGCATAAGATGGCAAAAATTAAGGTGCCTATGAACACATTTAGTTCTTCAGCACATAGTTCAATTTCCTACATCTTGTTAGAGCTGGAGAAAGCTTTCAGTTCTTCATATCCTGCTTCTGAGCTCGTAGGTGAACTTGCTGACTAGTACTCCCTCCGTACACAAATATAAGATGTTTTGGATATTTCAATATGAACTGCATATGGACTGAAATGAGTGAACAAACACACTAAAACGTGTCTACTTACATTCGATTCACACAAAAAAAATCAGAACATCTTATATTTGTGAACGGAAGAAGTAGAAACATAAAGGGACCACTCATGAGCAGCTCAATTATCTTGATTCGACTTCTTAAGTTTCAGTTATCACTACTATTCTTATGCACAAAGAGTGCCAGCAGATGTTCTCACTTTTAAAAGAAATACATGAAAGTAAATTATTAGTAGCAACTTTTCTGATAATCTGGTACTAACCCTTAAAGTGTTGCTAGTATTTATCACGTACTGTACAAAGCCTATCTTTTCAAATTTAGAATTATACTTGGATTATTCTGTGTTTTTTAACCTGGTGGAACTGTGCAAAGTTGTTAAGTAGTAAGTTCTAATTGTCTACAATGTGAATATAGTTAATCTTACTCTGGACAGCTGATGTTTGTCAGTAAAACCTTATTAGTCATTAGGACAGCTAGATCATGCCCTTCATTCAAAACCTTAGTCTTCACTTATGTTTTCTTCTGTTTTTGGAAGACAATTGTAGGGGAAACCTCATCCGTATGAATAGTAATGTAAGTTAGCGTCTGTGAGGATTTGAACCAAGGTAGTGGGATTGTACATCCACCCCACTCAGTTGAGGTGGACTAACATTTGTTGTCTTTCTCTTGAATGATCTGTGTGTAACGTTGGACTCTCGATGTGTTCATGAACATATTCAACTATGATATATAAATTATAATAACATCCTCACCGTTGCAGATCTACGTGGTTGATTCATTGGATAGGGAGAGAATTGGAAAAGCCAAAGCAGAGTTTCAGGTTTGTAAAGTGTCATAACTGCTCATTGATGTCTTATTATGTTTTCTTTGTGATGAAGCTAATATTTGGCATCTTTGTTGCAGACAATAATCAACGATCCTTTCATGCTTAACAGTGTCATATTGGTATTTGCCAATAAACAAGATATGGTAAGACTACAAAACTTGACCACTATTTTAAACGCAAACATGCTTGAATATATTCTTAAGATAACAAAACTTGACCGCCATTTTTAGCAGATATGAGAAGTCTCTGAATGTTAGTGTTATGGACTGTAGGTGAATGAATAGGTGTCAGAATATATATTTGCTCTTTTGCACTCGTTCTCCACTCCTTTTGGTTGTGATAGTATACGAGACCATCGTTGCTGCTCCTGCCTAACATAGCTTTGTTGCTCATTCAGAAAGGGGCGATGACACCAATGGAGGTGTGCGAAGGCCTTGGCCTCTATGATTTGAAGAACCGCGTCTGGCACATCCAAGGTTCCTGTGCCCTCAAAGGTGATGGTCTTTATGAGGGCTTGGACTGGCTGTCAAGTACTCTGAAGGATCTGCAAGCGTCCGGTCGCCTACCCTCAGGAGGGACCTAACAGTTCTAAGTAGCACTTCTGCTTATAAGATCCTAATAATGCTCATACTAACAACCTTTGGATGAAAGATGACACCAGAAAGAAAGAAAAAGATACTGGTGAGGAACACCTTATAGCCACATATCCAGTTTTCGTGATAAGCTTCGGTGTTGATTCTGCTGAAGAAAAGACCTTGCTTGGGTCTGACCGCATCAAATTTACCTGTACAATCTTGTCATGGATAGTGTGGATTCTCTAATTCGTGACATATTTCATGTAAATTTTCCTGTGAGTTTAGAGAAGCTAACCATCTTATGCTTTTGTTCACATATGAGGACTGGAGCATAATGTTATTGATGTAAATTTTCTGTAAGATAATTTTGGCATGATACAATTTATGCCCCCCCCCCCCATCTCTTGTCGTAGTTGACTGTTTGGTTTCTGGAGGTTTTTGTTTTGGTGGATTGCTAGTGTTCCCTAGCCTCTGCTTTCTATAAACGCAGGCACGTATGGTCTTCTCTCTAAAACGAAAATACTTGCCGAATCAAAGAGGAGACTTGCGCAGGCCAAAAGGGTGGATGCCTTTGTTGGTTTGCTATAGGAACGTACCATTCTTCTCTGAATCATGCACCTAAATTTCATATTAGCAAACACTGTTACAAACTGAAACTGTTATTTCTGGGTTTGTCAGTTGTACCGCACGTTTATTTATTTATTTTCGTATTTTCTACATGTGAGCAAAAAAAATGGCATTCCACAAAGGGGAAACTAGATTGAACAATCTTTACCGGTTGCACTGGGTTATGGCATCTTCAACGCGTCTACATTCATAGAGATAATGAACATAGATAACTCTGCGTAGCATTGACGCCTACGCCTATGAGACATGGAAAATAATACTCCCTCCAATTCATAGTTTGAATTTTTCTTGTTAGAAAATGGAAGAGAAAACCGAGCACACTCGTACCCTTCCACAAAACCGGTAGCTTTTGAGAAAAAACCAGCTCCCCTTCGCGACGTGTTGATCGAGGAGTTTTTCTCACCTATGACTTGCAGGGATTGGGTGATCAACACCTGAACCCCGTGGGGGATGACTCCCTGTCATGATCTCCCATTCGATTAACCCCACGCCGCCGGTTCCGTCGCCTTGACAA